TACAACATAACCAAGACAGTTTATTTGCTTAATTTTTCTTTTTGTCTTCTATTTTTTATTATTCATGACTACTTCACTACCTGTGTCTTTGTACTCTGCAAGTAATCTTGCCTTAATTGGCTTGGCAGTGATCGTGGCAWTTTTTTCCTTGGTTAGTGGGACTTATCTTCTGGCTTGTTGGCAGTGCACTTGGAAATTATCATGGCATGGCTCTTATCCATCCTAAGTGTGAACCAATTCTTTTTATGTGTCATTATGCATATAACCTGGTTGCTCCTTCACAAAATCTCCTTGGACAGAGGCACTGCCCCTTGGAGCAGCTAGTAGGAGCATTATTCTGCTTAGTCAGGAGAAGTAGTAATGGCTCTGGTCAACATAGTGCTTCTTCTAGTAGTTCACAAGGTTAAACATAATTTTCAGATTTAATTGCTGACATAAGCCTAACAACAATAACACAACCATCATATAGCACTAAAATGAATATGTTAAGCACAAAAAGAAGCTTTGTTCCAATTGCCCAATTAGTGAGCTCATTTCAGTAGTAATAGGCACAAACTAGACTCTCATTCCTCCATAATGCAAACAGTAACCCATTGATTCATCCCCTGTTGAGAAAGAAGYAGAATTGGGTTTGTGCTACCACCACCAGAATATTAGGATCTTGTAGTAGTTCTGTAGCTTTTGTACACCAGTGTTCTGCATTAATGATGGGATCAATTTTTTCAGGAATCAATTGCTGACACATTTACAGTAGCTGCCTCCTGAGCTACAGCCGCCGCTGCTACTATTACTAGTACTACTACTACAACTACTACTAGCAGTAGTATGGCAGCAGTGGTACTGGTGGTAGCTAGTATTTTTCAGCTATAATCACCAAGAACAAGTAATGGAGGAGGTTGCTTGTTTCCTTCAATGCAGTGACTTTGGTTTTTTCAGCTTCTTTTTACAGGAAACTTGCAGTTACACAACCTAACCATGGTGCAAARCTGGTGTTCACTCTYTGGCTCCAGCGATTKYTACTAGCAGCTACCACCACCMCCAATTGTCATGGCATGACACCATTCTAAATGCCATGTCACAACCCTGCTTTGTTGATTTCAAATGCCACACTGTGCCCATACTTCAGCAAGAACAAAAAGAAGCAAAAGGAAGGCACACAGTGGAAATACAAGCAAGTCACCGCCAATGTCATTGATGGAGTTGCTTGGCAATACCTTAGTCGCGGTGCACCTTGCARGGGAATGAGCAACACGCCATGCTGAATAGGAGTTTGGTTTCCTCTGGATCACTTGAATCCCAATYGCGATGTTTCTCCATACCACAAATATGGTCAAACTGGGTTACAAGTTATAGCACATCGCGACTATGAACCACTGGTTGAACMACCAACGAAAACGTTTGCACGTCACTCCTTTCCAACATCTAGTGCTTTTCGATGAGAGTCAAAGCAGCCTTTGGCCGCAAAGGTGACGTACTCATCGACCTTTTAATCTGTAWTGTGTGCTGTAAGTTATATGRAAATATCTTTAATTCTAATCACGATTTTGTTAAAGCGCAGTACACGTAGCGAGAATGCGACCGGTCARCACTTAACTTTAAAGAGAAAAAAGTTTTTTGCCTTTTGTTTACCAAAAACGATTCTAGTTCGATGTGTCGTCGCATCGAATCCAATCGAGTTAAATTGTGAAGCATCCGACGCAATTAAACCGGACCCAGTTTTTGGAGCTCGTCRGCCAGAGCGTCGACCTGCGCGTCAGGATCCTCCTCGACCTCGTCGTCTTCACCATCGACACCGATATCTTCTTCTAAATCCTCCTCGTCAAGTTCCTCGTCGTAATCGTCCTCGTCGTTGTTGTCTTCCATCTCAGCTAGCTTGTCCCCAAATGCTTCAGTCAGACCTTCAACAACATCGGGCAAGAATCCATTAAGATCCAACTCGATCTTTTCCAAGTTAGGTGTTTTACTTGCCATTGCAATAAGTTCGTTTGCACCCATGGAACCAATGTCGTTCTGGTTGAGATAAATCTCTTTGATTGTGCTCGATTTGAGTGCTCTTGCAATGGATCGAATGCCCGGGCTCTTCATCTCATTTTCAGACGCACTGAAAAATTCAATAGAACTCTGAACAGAATTAATCAATTTTCCAATGGTCCTACCGATTGCTTTGCCGTTTGAGTCTTCTCCGAGATCATTTCCACCAAGCGAGAGGTACTTCAAGGGCGACCCAGCCTCGATAAGCGCCTCGCACAYTGCGGCAACTCCCTCTTCACCCATTGTACATTCGCTCAAATCGAGATACTCTAGTTTCTTGCACACCCGCAGGGAATTAGCAAGATCCTGATAGCAGTCTCCAAACGAGTTGTCTGCCAAATCTAACCGGACCAAGTTTCCCAAGCTTCCAGCGGTTGCAAGGTCCTTGAGTCCGGCTGCGATGTGGAGGCTGCCGGGTGCTTTGGCTCGGGTACCGGACATACGGATATCCTCGAGCTTTGACGTCTGTGCAATGACTTTTCGGAAGGACTCGCAGCCTTCGTTGTCGCTCATGTTGTTGAAGAAATGAATCTTTTTCAGATTGTTGGCAACGCACGCACCGTCTTCTTCTTGTGTAAGGAGCACGGCTGTAACTTCCATGGTATCCTTGCTCAGGCCGTTGTTACAGAGGGATAGRCTTTCGAGTGTATTRRTCGCCGTTGGTCCGCAAAGAACAGTTCTGCAAGCGTCAACTCCTTGCGTTCCCATAGCGTTGTCGCTGAGGTCCACTTCTGTGAGTCGGCTTTCCCGAAACGCGTCGGAAATGGTCTGCAAAACGCTCAATCCATCTTCGGTATTCTGGCTGGCAATGATGTCGTCAATTTTGGCACACKTGACACCCGATGCAACAGAGGGATTGAAGTCATCTGTTGATGTAAGGAAGTTGGCAATGATGGTTGCAGCCTCGGGTTTGTATGTCTTTCCACTTAGGTCGACCTTGTTACACAGGACGCCGCTCTCGGTAGCCTTGGATTGTTCCGCCAGCAATTGCTCTTTCCAGCTTGCTATCAATGCTTCCGCTTTCTGGGCATCGATTTCTTCGCGCTTTTCCGGGTCTAAYGTAGAGAGAACGATCGCCATTTTTGTTGGACAATAGTCTTTATTCTAGGTGTTTGTGAGTGTGAGGGCGCTGTCGAGAACAGGATTGAAAATTAATGACGGCACACAGTGGATTGGTAGTGTTGTCGTCAAAATAATACTCGTACTCGTCCTGCGCGATACTCAGGGGTCTAAATTTATGACCAC